TTCTTCGGATGCATATATCAAGAAGTGGGCTGTAGTCCACGAAAGCTTATGCTCTAATAAATTTGTTAGTCTCTAAGGTGCCACAAGTACTCCTGTTCTCTTTTTGCGGATACAGACTAACACGGCTGCTACTCTGAAACCTGGCTTTAAGTGAAAGCACTCTTGTGTTGTACTGTTTGTGCCAGCCACCTGTCAGTCGGATGGACATGTCTCCGTTGATTTATTTCCTCAAGAGTAATAGTTACCAAGAGCTTTAGGGTTTTAAGAACCATGGTAACAAAGACAGATGAGCATATGAAGCCTTCCCATCTACCACCTGTTGTATTTCATACCTTTCTCTGTTGAACCAGGATGTAGGACAATTGATAGCACCACACAGAGGCAAGAGCAATGTGAGGGCAGATTGAAGATTTTCTCTTTGCTTCTTTTTAAAGTAGCATAGAGAGGAAGCGCCTATCTGAATAAATTTCACACTGACCTTGAGAGAGAGAGAATGAAAATATCCCCAAAAAAGTGATACTGGATAATGCACTGGGAATGAATTTCAAGTGGGCATATGCTTTGAGGGCCAGGGGAAATCTTTCCACTGACTTCAATGGGCTTTTGGATCAGGCCTTTAGGGGGGGTTTTCTTCCTTAGTCTGAAGATAAGTGTGTGAGAATCCTCCGTTTGCCAGAGGATTCTGCATGCACAGTTTAGTAACACTTACTCTGCAATTTTCAGAGATGCTGAGCACAGCAAAGCCCATTTAAATTAATGGGTGTAGCACAGAACTGAAATGTTCTGTATTTGTGATGGAAGTTAACACTATTGTAATTAACCTGTTGTGTTATGATTATACACTATGTTAACCCGCAATTCAACATCCATCCAGAAGAGAGCTCCACAACCTCCAGAACACGGGAATGGGAAGCACAACCAGACCCAAAACAAAGCAAGTACCAAGAGATCTGATCTAAGGCCTTGGCTACACTTACCAGCTAGTTCGACGGCTGGAAATCGAAGTTCTGGGTTCGACTTATCGCGTCTAGT